TAAGTTTCAGTTTCGATTTTCTTTTTCCAGAAGAGAGGTTTTTAGTGATGTCATAGACAATCGACCATGTTAAGTTTCTTTTGCGCGGGCAAAGGCTCTTCTAGAGCTGCGATACTAATGGTCAGCAACAGAGTATCTGTGGGATTGGTAAGCTATTGTGATTAACGGTCGAGTCGTTGGGCCAGTAGCCCCTTTCAGTCACTTTTTAAAATGTTTCGTGTACAATAATTGTTAAACCGCACAAGACTGCGAGCAAGCTTTTCACAGCGAGTGAGTCCGTTATACGCGAGAGACCTCGCGAGCGAGTTGCAAACTATATGTCTTTTGGCGCTCGCGCGTTGCTTCTTTCAATATTGTTTACAGTCTACACCAGTAGGAGCCAATTACTATCGGCTCCTGGCACCAATTAATTTCCAGAATTTTACAAGAGCGTTAAAAGGGCCAAAATTATGTTCCTCAGAAGTTATGACTTAAAAAAACGCTGCGTAAAAAAGTTATAATGCATTTCTCATTATTGCTTATTTGTTTAATTTATTGTTAGAGGCCACTGGATCTTATTATAAGGTGTACCAAGGTTACAAGCAATTTTTTTTTTCTTAGAATCGCGCACTAAAGGCCTATCTATTTTGTAGTCATATGACCATCTGTCCGTCCGTTCACCAGTTTGTCCGCGCAACCGGGCAACCAATGTAAAATCTCACACTTTCTAGCTAGCGTGGAAGCCTGCAACCTGCTATTGCACCCCCGTCACTATTAATAGTGATAACTATTAACAGGGATCGCACACAGTCTGTTTGTGTAACTAATGTAGTTTTATTGTAAATGTGCCATATTCACAGTTTGCTCCTTCTGTACCGGCATATCGCTAAATATGCTAGAGGAACAGTAAAGAGAGCAAACAGTGAACTCAAACGTCTTCAAAATCGCTAAACATAACACTTCTCAGGCAAAGAGACAACAATTTACCGCATGTAAGGTAATACGACGTTTATTTAGCATTGATCCTTGCACCTATTTAGCGATACACCGCTACAGATGAAGCAAACTGTAGGTGCAGTACATTTTCAAATCTAAGTCTAATTCTGTGCAAATCTCCCACACGGGATATTTGTGCACAGAGAACGGTCGGCGGTTATTTAGTCATAGTAATGGCTTTTACTGATTAAATCGTTAATGTCACTGGTCTCGCATAAGGGAAGACTTAAAGCAGTCAACAAAATGTGAGGATGATTCCACTCTGGGACAGTGCGAGAAAAAATGAAGCTCTGAAGTATTCAGTATTCCTGAAGTAGTGTTGACCTTGGGATTCTCTAGTAGCACGCCAACTCCTGACCAGGATCTGACTTTCAACATCTGCAAGGCCGTGGGTAATCTTGTACATCAGGGATAGGCGGCTGACAGCCCTGCGCGCTTCGAGCTTCTGCCATCCGAGATCGCATGTCATTTGTTTGACACAGGATTCTCTTTTGTGGTCGCCTTTTACGAAACGTGCGGCCCTGCGCTGCGCTTTCTCTAAGGTTGCCACATCTCTTTCGTAGGGATCCCACACAGAGCTGCAGTACTCCTTTTGAGGTCTTACGAGTGTTTTCTACGCGATCAATTTAACCTTTGGGGTGCTGTGCTTGAGGTGTCTTCGTCGAATTAAGTTCAGTCTTTTGTTGCAATTGTGTTGATATAATTGACGAAGTTAACCGATGCGTGAGCTGGACCCATAAAAGACGTCACGAGCAGTTTCCAAGTAACCATAGATAATAGAAAGACATGAAGTAACCAAGCTATTATGCATCATTTGAAAATCATGTCTTAGTGATACCAAATCATCATTTTTTTTTCTTTCATTTTAAGGATGACGAGAAAATAAAAGTAAAATCAGGATTAAAGCGGACCCCTTGTCAAGAGGACCTTTAACAGGCGCAGCCGACAACTGTTTTAAAATATTTGTTTGGAGAAGCAAATATACATTGCCTTCTATTACATGAGGACAGCTAAAAATTTCTAGATGACCGTTCCAGTCATGTACAATTTTCGAAACTTATTTAATAAATTCCCTACGATTTTCTGAAGTTTAATTTCTCGCATTTCACACCCCAGGCTAGGCCAAGCTCGTTCCCAGGAGGAGAGAACCCTGGGAACGAGGTTGAGGCTAGGCTATTTTTCGTAGGAAAAAGGAAAACTAAAATTTTGGTATTCAAAAATGTGATGGAGAGGGGAATCACTTCCGTAATGCGTTAAATCGCATCTAAAATTTTCGGGAAAATAATACTGAAGCCCTTGCAATTAGGAAAAGACCCAAGTAGTTCTAGGATGACCGAGCAGGTACCAATTTTATAGCGCCGCTTAGAATGCATTTGTAAAGGTCTAAAAGTACTCTGGATAGCCTAAAAAAGTGTTTTCAATGCATTTGGGGGAAAGCGTCGTTGGGTGTCTCTGCTTTGATGGTGTCCGCTCATAAAAGTTAACTTCAATTTTACTTTAAGGAGCACTTTTCTCCAACATTTGTTCCATTTTTTGAAGTCGCGGAAGACAAGACAGGTTTTCGTGAATTTCAACGATGTCCTGCAAATGCCACCCACCATCGTCAGAGTCAGAGTCATCAGAAGAATGAGAGTGGTAGTAACGGTAAGGTGTTAACTGAACAGTCCTTTTCAATTCCATCATTACTGCAATAAGGTCCAATGACTTGTAGCGCTTGTTCAGATGCTCTAGCAAAGTGACTAGAACATTCCGTCTTTGCAAATACACCTGAAGAGTTTCGGGGTGAATTTCTTTTTTTCCCATCATCTTTGTCGAGGCATCAAATATCAGAAGCTTCGTGTCTGGAATGAGGGGCAACTTCTCCTTCACACACCCCTCTATCGTTGATATAAATTTCTGAAAGTCTGAATTAACGTACTGGTACTCATACTCATATCTGTTCACAAAAAGTACGACAAAGAGGGTCGATTCTTTACCTGCAAAGCGAAGCAAAGACAAACCTCTCAAAAACTACAACTTTAAGATTGCTTTCACTATTATTAGTTCACTGCCCTGGAGACAAAAGTAAGGCTCTGAAAACCCGCGATGAAATTAAAACAACATCAAGCAATACTAGACATCAGTAATTATATACATTAAGCCTTATCGATTAAAAAAACCATGGGCGGATTCAGAAGTAGGGCTGAGGGGACTGCGCCCACACCCTCTCTTTTTTTGTTATACTTTCTAAGTATATTTAAAGAATTCTCTATATTTAGCTGGCAAGTGTCCCGACCACCCCTTTCGGAATTCTCTCAATCCCTCCATGAAAGTGGAATTTAAGTTTGACACCTATTTCAATAAAAGAATTATTGAGCATTATCTCTTTGGTGGCAATGTACCTCCTCTGGCGAGATCATTATTAGAAGCCGGAAAGGGAACAAAACATCGAAATTTTGGAAACAAGTTACAGTAAAAACCCGCTTATAAGAACCTAGAATTTTGGAGTTCAGGCTGAACAGGTTCTTATATTTTGGGTTTTTTTTCCAATAACAGGCTGATTAGGTTCTTATTTGCAAAAGTTATTATAGTGATAGCATTCGGGGAACTGCCATAGTACTAATACGCTATAATTGTGAAGCACGACTAAAATCACATCTGAGCACTTACATAATCAAAGTCCAAGAGAAGAGTCCTCTATTTTTGTATATTCTGTATTTAAAAAACTGTTTTGATTTTTTTTCTGACTGTATTTGTGACTACAGCAAAGTTTTATGGAATGAATAATATCTTATTGGTAAGACTAAAAAGCAGTACACTACAAGAATTTTCACAATTAAAATCCCGAATTTGAACATCAAATCTGGAGTGTTTTTTTATATGAGAACCTATTTTTCTTTGTCAGGCTGAATAGGTTCTTATATATTTGGGTATTAAAATGAAAATTTCAGCCTGTAGGTTCTTAAATCACTAGGTTCTTATACGCAGGGTTTTTACTGTAGTTTAATTTTAACGACCTCGTGCACGGTGGGTACCAGTAAACCTCGAACTGCGCATCTTTTCAGGCCTGATTTTTTCGTGTTCCCTTTCGTAATTTCGTTCTAGTTTTCGAAATACACTCAATTCGTAATAAAGAGCCCATCACAAATATTTTTCTCTTGAAATTTTGACAGAACTCGTAAAGGCCTTAATCGAACGAAAAAAGACAGCCGATAAAGTAGTCAGTTTTATTATAGTAGAGCCCAGGTAACTCGAACTCTGAAAGGGAAACGAAAAAACAGTTCGGGTTAGCGAAGGTTCGAGTTAACGGGGACGATTGCAAAATTCAATTTGCCATATCAAAAATTGATAGTTACTAATTTTTCAGCACTTCAGTGTGTAATGCAGGGCAAACTTAACTTTTTTCATCAGAAACGGTGACATGATCAGATTAGGTATTTTTTTTATGATAAAGCGTGATCTGTTCGTTGCACCAATTAAAAGCAGATTGATGTAGTGTTGACCAGTGTTAGTTTTAGTGTTTTTGCCTATCATATGTACAACAAGCGGAGCTAATGGAAAGCACCCGAGTGGAGTTACAAGAACCAGAATTCGAGTTTTTGGGGTAAATTTCAGTGAATTTTTAATAAAGGGAAATGAAATGTGGTTCAAGTTAGAGGGTAACTCGAGTTATCCGAGTTCGAGATAATCGAATAAAAATGACCGAAAAGTGGGGTGAAATCCAACGGTAATTGGACTTAGTTCGAGTTAACGGGGATTTCGAGTAATCGGGGTTGTACTGTATATTGCTATTCTTTGCATTTACTCTCTGGGACCGCCAAAAAAAAAAAAATTCAGAGACAAAATAACAAGGATTTTTTGTCACTGACTATGTTAACATGAACTTAGATACCTTTGTCATGTGACTGTTCTATCCAGTTGTCCATTTGGGTTAAAACAGTTATTTTAAATTTCTCAGTCTCTTTCTTTAGTTCTTCCTCCCTCTCTTTTATCTCCCCAGTTATCGAAATTCTTTCTTTTGTCCACAGGTCAATTTTCTTTGTCGCCTAGCTTAGTTCTTTTTTCATTACTGCCTCCTCTTCGTCGAACATACTCGACAATTCCTGTGACTCCGGTTGACCAAATATTTCTCCAGAAATCTCGTTCAATACCCACGCTGCTTCCCCGCGATACATGCTGAACGGAGGTTTCTTTTGCAGACACATTTTTAACCTTTGTTCTCTTTCTTGTGCAATGAAGATATTGTCATTTTTCTCAAATTCGCTTTGCTTCAAGTCATCCAGTTGCTTAGACAAATTCCAGGAAGAATTTGCTGTCAACTCAGTTACATGGTTCTTCGTGTTCAATAATTTAAAAAAGTGTCCAAATTTTTCAGAACCATAGCCTTCGCCTTCTTTTCCAGAGCATCCGATAATCAACACTTCCGCTTTCGTGTAAATCTTTGTAGGACGGTTATTGGCACTCGGCAACTTTTCTATTTCTCTCAGTGGAAGAGCAGGTCGAAGTGTTTTAGGTTTTGTTTCTTTGTCCAACAATTCAACAAGGTCGAACAGCTGCAGTGCCTCACAAACTTCTTTCAACATCTTGACTGGAGTGTCAGGAAATAACTCTTTAATGTCCGACAATCCTCTAATACGCAATTTCCGAGGATCAAGACCAAAGGATCGGTAAAACCTCTCCTGAGCAGCTGGGTCATTTTGGAGTCTGGAGGTAAATTCTTTCGTGACTTGGTATCTTATATCTTTCAAGCACAGTTTGGAAGTGGAATCTATAAATAAAAACGAAAGGCAAGTTAACTTTGGAATACTATCATTCAGTAAGAAATGTTTATTTCATAGAGCAGACACTGAGGGTGCGTATCTTTACTATCATTATTTATTCAAAATATTGGCTAAAATCCTACGGTTAACTGCTTTGGATGACGTTTGTGATATCCGGAAAATGACGTCAGTAGTACAGGGTTATCGCCAGAAAAAAGGACGGCAACCGAGAAGCCCTGGGACGAGGTTGCTTTGTTATAGTACGGCAGTAAAAAATGGCGGAAAATTTTTACGCGTTTTGCAAAGAAGAAATATTCGAACTACTGCCTAAAACTGATAGCAATTGCAAGAACAGTAACAATACAACTCGAAGGATCAGCGGATGACAGCCGCTATTTGAAGAATATCTGCTACACCAAACATCCCTGCATATCCTGAACCAGCCGAGAAACAGGCAATCGTAGACGGCGGGGCCCGAAGTTAACTTTTTAGTGCACTTGCAAGTTTTGTTGTAAGATTTTTTCCACTCGCAAACTCGTGAGACCACCAGCAAATTCTTTCCCTTTGAAATGTCAATGATCATATCTGATATCTGATGTAATGAAAATGAAAGCTCCAATACCACGAGGAACAACAGGAACACGTGAATGCGAATGTGTGGCACAGAGCCTCGGTGCAATATAGCGGGCCAGTGGCTAACAAAAAACGCGCTCCTCTCAACTCAGCGACCGCTGTTTTATTTGCCTCAGATGTCGTTCGCACATTCCTTCTTGCGTTCGAACAGCCTTCTCCAAATGTTTAGGAGACGTGGATGATTCTAACTCGCTAAAGTTTGCTAGTAGATATTTTTCTCACTCGCAGATTACCAAAATCACTCGCATTTTGCGAGTTTGCGAGCGTTAATTTCGAGCCTTGGTTACGGGAACTTAAAAATGCCTTTAACGTAAACATCACTTCAAGAATTTTCTTCGAAAAAACAGGCGTTTTTTTTGAAACAAAATGAGATTTTTTAAATGTCTCAATTTCTTTGGCACACCCTTTCCGCTGATCACGAAATTGACGGGCTTATATCTGACAGTCATAAGACATACTGTAAATACAGGAACTAAAAACGGGATTTAATCGTGCTTATTCTCGGAGGAAACTTGACGGGAACTAGCGGTTCCCTAGTCTTGCTTTTGTTAACTTCCCTCTTTTTTCCTTCAACTAGACTCGTACATTACAACTTTACATTGCAGTATCAGGAATGCACTCTCTCTGAATATCGTTGTCGCACCTTGATTTTATACTGATTACCAAACCCGTCTTCCTAACTCAAATTAATGCTTACGCAAGTCTTCTGTGATTAGCTAGAAGTGGCTCATCTGCATAAAACCTTCGAGGCCTTGTCAAAGTAATATTTTCTTTCTCAAATTTCGCTTTTATAGTGCGACTACTGTAACCGTACCCTGCAAGCAGAGGCTACATTTTCGCTGTGTGAGCTGGCGTGCAAAAAGTAGCCTCTGCCGACAACCGTTCA